TGACCGGCATCGGATCGCAACCCTCAGTGTTGCGCCCGTACCGGACCAGGACCGGCAACGGAATCACAACCCTCGGTGTTGCTCCCGCACATCGCTCAGCCAGTGAGCGGCTGGTCTGTATGTGGGATCCGAACCCTCGGCGGGAGCGCCGCCGCGCTTCCCAAGCGGCGCACTGTAGCAGTGCACCACCGGGCCGGCCCCTAACAATACTTTCTTAATATCACCAGTGGACAGTGTTCAAATTTGTCCAATTGTCTCATAATTTTAAAACACTTTCAATCAGGATCAAAACAAAGTCCATATATTTCATTCAATTGATATGTTTCAAGTCTCTTTTAGTCTAATGGTTCCCTTTCTTTTCTTTTTCTTTCTGATTTATTTTTTAACAGCTTTATTGAGAGAAAATTCATATGTCATATGATCCACCCATTTAAAGTGCACCATTCAATGGCTTTTAGTATATTCACAGAGTTGTGCACCACTGTCTAATTCTAGAACATTTTCATCATCCCAAAAAGAAGCCCTGTGCTGATTAGCAGTCACTCCCTGTTCTCCCCTCCCCTAGCTCCTGGCAACCACTAATCTTTCTGTCTCTACAGATTCACCTATTCTGGACATTTCAAATTGTTACAGGGTTCACTCAACTCCTGGCTAAGGCTCCCCCAAATTGATACCAATTCACAGGTCCGGCTGCCTGCCCCAGACAAAAGCAAACCACTCAAAAGTCATATGTTGGTGAAAATGGAAGTCAGCTTTTATTCAGGAGTACCAGTGAGCTGAGGAGAGATGTGAGGCTCACCCATGTCTCCAGTAAACCTGAAGGAGAACAGCCACACTAAAGCCATCGCAAAGACTCAGGTTTACTCAGGGGTTTTAAAAGGGGGTGGGGATGAGGGAATGGAATGTGGAAGGTGAAAAGCAGGAGAGAAGGAGACACAAGCCACCAGGGGTCCTTGTCTACAAGTCAGGTACAAGGTCTTTCCACGGCCTCGCCTGGTTTCTGTTCTCATCTTCGCTCTTATCTCAGGACCCTGCAGGATTTTGATTTGCTCCAGAGTAGAATCAATTCTTCAGCCAAGTCTTTTGTGTAGTTTCGCTTCACAGAGCTTTGGTGGACCTGGCTGGTGCCCCAGGTCAGCTCCCAGTCATTTGTCCTTGATCACTTCTCAAAACTCTATAAGTCTCAGAGAAAGAACTGTTAGCTTTGCAAAGTACTGATTAACTTCTCAGCCTTGTTTTCCAATTTAGCAAGCAAGATAAGAAAGTCAGGGGGTTGGAAGAAAGAGTGGAGAGAGAAAAAAACTATTGTTTTTAAAATCCACCCCCCCCCTCAGCCCAGGCAGTTTTAGGTCCCAACATGGGGTTCAGTCCTGCTCACTTCAACAATGTAAGTGGAATCATACAATATGCAGCCTTTCATGTCTGGCTTCTTTCATTCAGCATAATGTTTTCAAGATTCATCCGTACTGTAGCATGCATCATTAGTTCATTTCTTGCAATTTGTTTTTTGGAGAAACCAGGTCATTTGTCCTATAGCCTTCCTACATTCTGAATTTAGCTGACTGCATCCCTGTGGGGTCTGTTAATGTATTCCTATGTTCCCTGCTTATGCTGTAAACTAGTAATGAGAACTAGAAGCTTTATCAAATTTAGATTCCAATTTTTGGCAAGACAGCTTCACAGATGGTACTATAAGCCTCCATAAGGTGACTATAGGCCATTGCTAGCTTCTGCAGTCATCCCATCTTTATAGCAGCTATTTGAGGCCATTGGAAGCAAGTCTTTTTTTTTTTTTTTTTTCTGGCAGCTGGCTGGTGCAGGAATCAAACCCTAGACCTTGGTGTCGTCAGCACCGTGCTCTAACCAACTGAGCCAACCGGCCATCCCAGAAACAACAGTCTTGAGTGGAACAATAATATATGGAATCTGATCTTTGTTACTGAACTGATTCTCATTTTCAGGCCATGAAATCTCAATAGTGATGCTCAAAAAGGCTTGGAACATATCTCTTGCTGTTTGGGAGTACATCAATAGTGACCTTGGCAACCTGCGAGGCTCCAAATCTCTAGACTCATAATAAATTTAGACATAAGGCTGAAGGAAAAAAGAGCCTCCTCCCTCTGCTGAATTCTACTTCTGTCCATCTCTGTTTGTGAAGTGGCCCATTCTTACGCGGGATCATTTCTGACCTATGACATGCTAAAAGAACAGGAAGCAGCCAGAATACACCAATATCCTGCTTTTTAAAAACCATTCCCCAACAGACATATATATCAATGAAATAGAACTGAGAGTCTAGAAATAAACCCTCACCCTATTGTCAATTCATTTGCAATGACTGCCAAGAACAATCTAATGGGGAAAGAATAGTCTTTTCAACAAATGGTGCTGGGATAATTGGATATCCACAGGCAAGAGGATGAAACTGGCCCCTACATCACAGCATATGTAAAAATTAACTCAAAATGGATCAGAGACCTGATCGTAACAGCGAAAACTATAAAATTCTTAGAAGAAAAAATAGAGGTATGTCTTCATGACCTTGGACTAGGCAATGGTTTCATAAATATGACACCCAAAGCATAAACAACTGAAGAAAAATATAGATATATTGGACATTATTAAAACTAAAACTTTTGTGCTTCAAAGGATATCAACAAAAAGACAACACACAGAAGCGGAGAAAATATTTGTAAATTATATACATTGCAAGAGTCTAGTATTACTGGCCAGCTGCCAAATAAAACAAAGCAAAACAAAACTCTTATAACTCAACAATAAAAAGACAAACAATTCAAATTAAAAATGGGGGCTGGCCGGTGAGCTCAGTTGGTTAGAGCACAGTGTTCTAACACCAAGATCAAGGGTTCAGATCCCCATACCAGGTAGCAGTCAACATAAATAAATAAATAAATGAAAATAAGAAAAAAAGGCAACATCATTAGTCATTAGAGAAATGCAAATCAAAACCAAAATTACAATGAGATACACACCCACTATAATGGCACCGAATTATACACTTAAAAATAGTTAAAATAACAAATTTTATGTTATATATTTTACCACAATAAAAAAACGTTTATTTTTAAAAAGGTCCCTAAACCACAGACTTCATAATCACGTAGACTGTCTTCTTGTTGTCACAGACGATTCTTCTACCAAATGGTTTTACACAGCCCTACAGAGGTCATTAGCTTTGAGGTCTGCAAAATCCATTTTTTAAATTACCTGCTGCCTGATTGTTAAGCCAATGTCACATTTAAGTTTTTGTTCCAGCAGTGTTCCAATTCCAGGTGCCAATTTCTGTATCAGTTAGGGTGCAGGCCAGGCAATTAATACTAAAAGACCTCAAAATACAGTGACCTGTGCTTCTGGATATAATAGAATAGTTTATGGAGGGCCAAGAGTGCTGTCAAGAATAATTTTAAAAGCCTGTTAAAAATATTAAAAGCAACAATGTTTATTTCAAAGCATTGGTGAGCTGCTGAAGCAATTAGGAGTCCAGAGAACAAAATCCCAAATAAAGGGGAACAGTACAGAGAGGTGAGCTGAGCCAACATTCTGCAGTTCCTGTCTGCCCCCTCCAGGGCATTTGATGCTCCTGGGTGTAGAACAGGAGAATGAGGCTTTGGGCAAAAGGGTTGGACAGAGAAATCCTTCTAAGAGTCAGAGAAACCAGCATAGTTTTAGACATCTTCCAGGGCAGAAGAGACAAAATTAGAGACTTGAAGGACTAGGACCTGGTGAAAGGAGGGGTAAAAACTAGCCTGATGGTTTTCTGGTTTTCCCTTAAAGGCACTGCAGAACTCTGAAGCCACAGGGGGCAGACTCTAAGAAATCAGAGCAGAGTTTTCAGCAGTCTTACGATGATGAGGAGATAAGGAGTAGAGTTCAAGAGCTGCCAGGGAGCCCCAGTTAATAACCCAGGCTCCAAGTTCAAAATCCATCAGTAGAAACGAACCAGATACATATATAGAGACTTTCCCAAATGGTAATCCAGCCTCGATTAAGTTTTTGACTGGGTTAACGCAACACCGAGGGTTGTGATCCCATTGCTGGTCCCCGGTATGAGCGCGACACTGAGGGTTGCGATCCCGTTACCGGTCAGTAAAAAAGACAAAAAGAAAAAAAAAAAATAACCCAGGCTCCAAGTTCAAAATCCATCAGTAGAAACGAACCAGATACATATATAGAGACTTTCCCAAATGGTAATCCAGCCTCGATTAAGTTTTTGACTGGGTTAAAGTGACTACTCCCATGCCATCTGCATAAAAAGAAAGGGAAAACCCTCTGTAGAGGAATATGTAGAATTTTTTGCATCCAATGCCTGGCATTTAATAACCAAGAATGCTAGAGACAAAGCCAAATGAAGGAAAAGGAAGAGAAAAAACAATAAAAACAGACCCATGGGTAATCCCGACATTGGAGTTACCAGATAAGAGTCTTAAATAGCTGTAATTAATATGTTCAAGACAAAAGAGGAAAAAACACAGAGATTAGATAAAGAGATAGGTAATTTCACCAGAGAAAAGGCAATTCTAGAGCAGAAAAGTACCATCAGTAAAGTTAAGAATCAGCAAATATGTTTAACAACAGATTAGACACAGCAGAAGATAGAATCAGTGATCTGGAAGTCAGGACACTAGAAAATACCCAGACTGAAGCACAGAGAAAATAAAGGATGGAAAATACAAAAGAAAGTTTAAAACAGTGACAAGGTCTAACAAAATACTGTGACTTAAGTAAGATAAAATTTTTTCTGTCTCTGTCTAAAGGTAGGTAGGTGTCTGCTTTGGGGCAGGTAGGTACCTTTGCTTCATGAGGTCATTCAGCCTGGTGAATTGGCTTTGTTATCTTCAACAGATGGCTTCTATCTTTAGATATGCTCTTGTTGTAATCATTTCTTAGCCAAAAGAAGAAAGAAGAACTCAAGGGCCAGAATCTTCTTTTATAAGGAGCTGATCAGAGGTTGCACACATCATCTGAGCTCATGAGGGCCTGAACTTAGGTGCATGACCTTATCTAGCTATCAGGGAGGGTGGCAGTGTTATTTCAAACTGGAACAATTATCTTTTTACCAAAGGGAGAAATGGGAGAATGGGTTTTAATGAGCAGAAAGCAGTTTCTGCCACACGTCAGATTGCCACGCAGGAGCTAGATACACAGAGCTTTATAGACCACAGTAATAAGTGTGGATTTGAGCCAAGGAAGAAGAACTGGGACTGCAATCAT